ATGCTACAGTCTGTATTATTGTTGAGGGCGTTCATCCCACCTTAGTCTGAGAGTAACATGAGAGTAACAAGAGCAGATGTCAGCTGCAGCACCTGCACTTGGGTCATCTTTCTGTGTGGCCTTCCTCTGGCCATGACCATCACTGTGCCCAGAGCACTCTTGTCTTATGGGCAGGAGGGGCTGCTACCTGATGCATGGGTGGAAACTCTAGTTTTTTACTTAAAATAGCAAAAGCTGGACCTACTTTCTCCCAGACTTGGTGATAGGCTCATGCAGTAAGCAGGAACACCCAGCTCTGTGGGTTCTTTACTCTTTGGCATGGTACCAGGGAGAAGGCTGTGGATGCTGTGGTGCAGACGCTGCTAACATTATTTGTGGACAAAGCTGGGGTAGGAAAATGCTTCTATTCCTAACGACTTCCCACAAGAGAGAGAAAGACACAACATAGACACAAATCCCAGTGCTTTCCTCCCTAGATGCTGGTGGAGAGTCAGGAAGAACAAAAGTCATGGGAAAAGCCCTATGTGAGCAGACGTGTTCAAAATAGCTGTGTCAAGAGCTAAAATGCTTGTCAGGCACCACTAGGCCCCTGTTGTTGAAGCTGCTTTGGCCACTAGATCACACAATATTAATTTCCTTCCTGCAGTTGTCTCTTGAGTCTGCCGTCAATGTTTAAAACTCCCAAGGTTTAAACAATTGCCCTGTTTAATGAGATTGAAGGATGTAGTATAATGAGTAATCTTAAGTCCATAATCAAATATTTCATGGCACTTTGGAAGCAAGCAAGCTCTCAACAGAATCTGAGGGATCAGCTGTTGATAATGCAGTAGGATCACCCTGGACCATAGCAGTGTCCTTAAATACTCATAGAACTCAAAAAAAAAAAAAAAAAACCCTCTAATTTGCATGTTAGGCTGCAACTTCTTGGACTCATACGTTGCCCTCCTTCCATGTTGCCAGAAACAATGCCTTGATTTAGAGAAATGGGCGGATTTTTTAGCTCCTGAAATGCGTGTGTAGAACCAATACGGCAGCTTGTATGTTTTTATGATTTGTGGCAGGAAATGAATATTTATGTGAAATTTATTAAGAGAAAAATACACTAAATGATAGACAATACATCTGACTGACTCTTCATATGACTTCCTGTATATGAAATACATTTATGTATTTTATATCTTCTTGTAGTTATGCTGATACACTATTGTCTATTAAGTCAGAGGCTTCATCCCAAGGCCAAGATTATTTAAGCTGGAATGATATCCAGAACTGCATTGACATGGTTAATATGCAAATTCAAGAAGAAAATGAAAGTAAGTAACTCTTTCTCTACCTTGCAGGCAGAGATGATGGTCTGGTCCATGGTGCATAAATTTCTGTGCTGAATGGTCTTGTGCAGACCCCCCCCCCCCCCCCCCCCAAAAAATAGTAGTAATAATAATAAAAAAAGATATGATTTCAAATGCCTGCCAGTTTTAAAATTTCCTGAAGTGCTCCTAGCTATTTTTTGTTTAGCTGAAGGGTGTCACAGGATGTCAGCTGCCAGCTACGTGACCAGTGCCATGGTGCCATGCATATGGCAGCAGCCCAAATATCCTTTGGTACTTGTGCTGGATCACAGACTGGTTGAGGTTGGAAGGGACCTCTGCAGATCTAGTCCAGCCCCACTGCTCAAGGTCATCTGGAGCATGTTGCACAGGATCGTGTCCATGCAGACTTTGAATATCTCCAGAGAAGGAGACTCCACCAACTCTCTAGGCATCTGGACCAGTGTTCTGGCACCCTCACAGTCGAGCAGTTTTTCCTCAAATTCAGATGGATGGTCTTGCAGTTGGGATTTTGCTGAATTTGCAAGCACAACATGTTGGGAGCCAGGGACAGAAATTCCTGGCAGGGTCCTGTGTAAAAGTAGCTCCTGTGTTTAACTATTTCCAAGCCCAAGTTCTCAGCAAGAGAGCTGGTAGGAAGCTGTGCAGTGCAGCTACTCTTCCTGCTCGTTTTAGATGATTTCCTGTCTAGAGAGGAGTCTGCTGTGCCCACTCTTTTCCATGGAAAAGGTTTCTGAGTTTTTCTAAACACTTTTGAGGCTGAAAGTGCAGGACTTAAGCAGCCCCCCTGGGCCGGGGGGGACCAGCAGCCTGGCTGCTCTGGGGTTCAGGGATGCCTCTCCATACTGTGGGAGACAGGATGGCTGGAAGGAGATGCAGTTCCCATAGAAGAGCTGGTTCTGAGCACTTGTGAGGTCACATGTGTGACCACTCCGGCGGCCCAGGGGCACCAGGGTTGGTGCTGGCAGGCATGCCGTTCATCTCAGGTGAGGGTGAAGCCCTTGCTCCACCTCATTGCCCACCCTGTAGTGGCTCTTGACAGCTAGGATGGGGTGCAGGGCACACTGACACTCTTGGCATGGGCAGGACATTGGGGTTTTAAAATGCTGGTAGCCGTCGTCAAGCTGAACAAGGTTGGATGGGGGTGTTAATAAGTGATGCTCACTGGCTGAAATCCCAAGTGCCAGTGCTCTGGAAACTTGAGAGATTTGTCCAAGAGCAAGCACCTTTGCTTTGGTTAGCTAAGGCAGAATCTAAAGAGATGAGGTTAGGCTGGTATGGCAGGCCATCATTCAGAGATCACTAGGTGCGTGTTTGGGCAGATAAGAGTTCCATGTAGTCAAGTCTGAAATCACCCCAAATGAATCTTTCAGCCCTCTAAACCAATTTGTAGTTGAGCATCTTTACCCATGCAGTCTTATGCCTTAAATTAAGGTTCATGTGGATTGTACCATCTTGCTGTAAAAGTCCTATTTCCTTTTGACTAGGATTCATGTGGGGTTTAGGAAAAAGCAGATTCAACTGACTAGATAAGTTGGATAGTTTTCCTTGCTCCTTTAGTTAAGAGCTTCATGTTAATATTTGAGCAAAGATCTTTAAATTAGCTGCTGTTGCTGCCTCTGCTTTCATGTAACTTGATTTTTTTCCTGTCTTCTGCTGCTGTGTGTTTGTATTTCCCATGTGATAAGCTGTATCTTTCTTTGATAACTACATTTTTAATAACTTTTCCATTTCATAGGAATTATTGCCATCGGTCACATTAATGAAGCAATTGACCAAGGAAATCCTGAGAGAACTCTAGAAACTCTGCTGTTAGCCACAGCCAAGCTGCAAGATGTGAGGCCAGCGAATGCAAAGCATTATCAGGATGTGCTGCACCAAGCCAAAGCGCAGAAATGCAAGGTGAGAGCTTTAAACGCTGGAACGTTGTGATGTGGATTCTTACGTGTACATCCCTGTCTTGGGACTTATATTAAGATATATTCTGCATGTTTGCTGCTACTGACTTAATGTAACCTTGATTTCTTGTGAATTCTATGAAGTTGATGCCGCAGTGGCAAAAGAAATGGTAACTGCACTGATGTAGCTATGAACTTCTGCAATGGTCTAGTTACCAAGCTTAGTGCCAGACAGGTAGCTTACAAAATAAATGAGACCTCAGGTTTTTGCCAGAAGTGTAGAGCTGAAGAGGAGTCCCTGTTTCCATTCTCAGATTTCTAAGCTGTTTCATAGAGGGGCCCCAGTTGCTTCAGTTTGGGGGTTTAATCCCCTAATGGCTTGTGTATTTTTATCTTGCCATTGTCCTGCAACAGCCTTGTGCCTTCCTGGTACGTGCCTGCAGATGGAACCCGGCGCAGCAGGATGCCGGGATCCGCTTCCGCAGAAGCGATGCCCTGCTCAGCCCCGGCGTAAACAGAGCAGGCGAGCAGCTTGCAGGATGTGACTGAGTGTGGGATTAGGCAGAGCTGTGAGCACAGCACGTAAAGGCCAGGGCTTGGAAAAGACAGCCAAAATTCGTGTGGCATGTTCCTAAGGTAAATGTTCAGCTGGAAAAGCCCTCGTGCTTTGGCATGTAGAAATGTCTTCCTGCTACTTTGCCACCTCACCTGCAGTTCGTGCTGTGAGAACAGTGTCTGCAACTATAGCCAGAGCCTTGGAATGAGATTGCACAAGTTTTGGCTCCTTCTGCAGGAGCACGTTGGCTCATTTGGATCCTGGAAGCCTCCTCCCTTGCTCTGCACTTGGGTGCATTCAGTGCACCCCAAGTACTTGATATGCCCACGAAAGATATTTGGGATGTTCTTTGGCACTTTGGCTGACCTCTCTCTTCCCAGGTTTGCTTATTTTAGCCTTTTTATGACTACTTTTAACATATCCTTTCCTTCTTTACTATAAGGCCATCCTCTTGTTTAGAAAGAACAAAATATTGTTTTGTACATGTTCCCAAAAGATACCAAAACACTTCCACCCTAGACGTATTATATGAGTTACTCTATATTCTTTTTACTGATATCACCATAGTCCTCCTTTAGACAAAGGTTGTGTTTAGATTGAGCCTACCAAAAGCAATGAACAAGCAGAACTGAGAGGGTTATGCTATAACCATAAAATCCATCCCCCCACTTCTGATAACTGTTTTTAAAGCACATCTGTGTTCAATTGTTTTTGGCATGTTTTTAGAGTGGGCTGCAGAGGAAGGAAGTGTTTGATTTACAAGCCTGATAGGTCTGCCTGTGCACTTCCTGTATTCCCCACGTCTGGAAAACCGTATGGGTCACAACCAAGTGCTGCTTCCATCTGTTCTCCTGTCACATCCCTGCCTGTAACTGTAATGGCTTTCGGTAAATGCAGTCTGCACCCGAGTCTCCTGCTTCCATTGTAAGGCTTCATCTCAATTCCCACCTACTTGTTCCTTGCTGGAAATGAAAACACAAACATGGAGTTTGTGTATTCCCATAATTTTACACAATAGCTTGTAGCAGTTCTCAAAACCACGTCAAATCATGTGTGTGTGAATCCTGAGGAAGTGAAACTATGATCAGATACCTGAAATGTCAAGCAAATGCACCAGACTTTCACATGGTTCCCATGCTTTATTTTTAATAATAGAGATGCAGGCGGTTGGCTTTTACAGTCAAACTGTCATTTTTATTATGTTGACAATAATTGTAATCTTTGTTTTAAGGTAACTTATTGGTCCTTGTTCATTTTGCAAAAACGAGAGGATAAATATTTCAGACTAGGAACCAAGAGCCTTACCGGTCTCCAACCTCTTGGAGATACTTTCAGTTTTCAACATTTCCAGTGCAAATGATTTTATTTTGAAGTAATGCTTCCTAATGCTATTCAAAACTCATAAATCTGCCTTTGTCAGCCTTGTGCGCTGCAGTTGTTACAAATACAAACACAAGCTACTGACTTCATTTTGTAGAAACCTGCACTCAGGACTTGCAGATTCTGAGTTTCTATAAATGTGCAAGCAAACTCGTCACTTTATTAATGTGGACAATTACAAGTGTCCCCAGCCGTTTGTAATGGTCTAGGTATTTCCTGTGAAGATGTGGAAATCGAGGGAATACGAGGCAGTAACTTCCCTGTTGCGCTTAATGAGCGAGAGCGAAGCACGCCCGGATCGCTGCTGATAAGGGCTGGCCTCGAGCAGCGCTCGTGGGCTGCAGGCGCGCGGGGCTGACAAAGTGGAAGAACAAGTCTGCAGCGCAAAGCTGCTGAAGTCGCCTCTCATGGTGGCTTGGAAGTGCGTCAGGTTCTGCACACCGCTGTGGATTTACTGCTGCTGGAAGCTGAAGGCACCCTGGCTTTCTGTTTCCATCATCCAGGGCAATATTTGCTCTTGGCCGTATCAGGATGCGTAGGCAGGAAGCTCCTGTGAAGCTATGCTGTCCCTGGACACAGAGAAAGTGCTTTTATTTGTTCCCATTTCCACTGCTGCCAAAAGGTGTTTTGGCATCAGCATTCCTGCAGTGCAGAGAGCTCATCTGAAGGATTTGGAAATCATGAATGGGCCTGAAAGTGCTGCTTCAGGAATTGCCTTGTCCTCTAGCGTTTAGGTGTTGATACTCTCTTCCCTAAAGCCATAAAAGGGAACTTTTTAGAAGAAAATGGAGGTGCTTAGCTACTTCCCTGAGTCGTAAGTACATCAGTTACTGTAATATGCCTGATATACCTTGCTAATTCTGAAATTTTATTTCAGAAGACACTTCTTATGGTGCTTGGAAGGAAGTAAATTTTATTGTGCATTGTGTTTTTAACATGTTTCATTGTTGCACCTCAGGTTTATGGCTCCGTGGCTTAACACTGTACAAAATCATTCCCACAATAATAAATACAGAACTTAAATTCATTTTTCCCTAGATACTTTAACCATTGTTAGGTAAGTGTTGGACTGACTTCTAATTTTGGACATCAGAAAGTAAAGGAAAGGATCGAGGCAGCTGTTTAAGCTGCTAAGACATAAAGCAATTAGATAAAAAGAATACAACCTGTCTGTATTATAATAGTAGTAGTTGATGTGATGGACAATGAGGATAATGTTGCTTGGTACAAAGCAAATAGCAAAGATGGTGAGGATCAGAAGACTAACTTTAACATACCAGAACCATTCATGAGTCTTGAGTGTTTGTATGATGGAGACGTAGCAGAAAATGACAATCACAAGAGGTATTAAAAATCCAAAGACGGCCAGGGAAATGTAGTAGTAGAACTGGAAGGCCGATAGGGTCTCACAGGCGTTGTGCACGTCGTGGCAGGTGAAGATGCCCAGCGGCTTCACGTAGTAGCTCTGCCTCATGAGGCAGAGGGGCAGCATGTACAGGAAGACGACGGCCCACGCGCCGGCGCAGACGGCCGTGGCGTAGGCCCGCTTGGGCAGGCGCTTGTACATGAAGGGGTGGACGATGGCCACGTAGCGGCTGACGCTGATGCCCGTGAGCAGCAGGATGGAGCAGTACATGTTGCCGTAGAACACGGCCGTGGTAGCCCGGCACATCCATTCGCCAAAAATCCAGTTGTTTCCGTTGAGGTGGTAGGCTATCCTGAAAGGCAAAACGATGCAGAAGAGCAGGTCGGAAACGGCCAGGTTGGTGTAGAGGATGGCCGTGCACACCGATCGGATTCGGAAGAGCAGCATCCACAGGATAATGGCGTTGGAGGGCACGCCGAGTAGGACAGCGCTGAGGTAGACAGTGGGGATTAGCTTGGTGCTGAGAGAACTAGTGAGGTACTCCAAGGTTGTGTTGTTGACTTCTGTTAGAGTTGAGTCGTTGGGTGGTTTTGAGGAGCATTTGTGCTCTCTGGTACGAGCTGTCGTCGTCTCCCCTTCTATAGCGTAAGGGGGGATATAATCATAGTCTCTCACAGAAAATCCACGAAAAGTCTTGATAAGAGACACAGTTTGAATTGCAGAGTTATTGTGGGAAGACTCTGAAGCTTGAAAAAGAAAGTAAAAATTGTTAGGTTTATTGGATTATTGGTATAGTCTGCTACAGGTAAGGCGAAAGGCAAGTCTTTCCATGTGAGAAGTGTTTTATGTTTTTTTTGTTTATACCAAATGTGCTCATGGACATTTATCATCTAACATGCAATCCTGAAAACTTTGCATGAATGTAATGTTAAACTAGATTTTCTGCATTTCACACAGTTTTAGTCATCTTTGCTGGCAAAGTTATTGAGGTTATAATGTAATTGAAGTCTATAATGTTTTCACCTGTGGAGGGTTTTTGACAGGCAGTACCAATTCTGGTCACTTTTCAGGTAGTTTGGTCTAGGCTTGGTCATGATTTTCAAAGGAAAGAGGATTAAAATTCTTGCCATTTAATGTAGAAAATGCATGACAGCAAAAGATGGGAGGGGGGAACAAAACAAAACCCATTTTAACTCCATGCTACAATTTTCCAGTTAGGAAATCCAAATAGTTTGTTTTTGGACTTACAAGTCAATTTAATGTTCTGTGTTCCCCAGCTTTAAACTCTAAAAAAACCCCACATCTTTTCAATTTCTCATACGTGAGGTCGGCTAGTTCAGTTGAGAACTGAATAAGGGTATTTGGGTTGATATTAGACCACATTTATTTGTAAGTAAATTTTTTTCTCCAGGGAAGAAAACCTCAATTGGTAAATATGGGGATAGAGCCTAGTAGTGCTGGTTCCTTAAAGATGCTTGTTCCTGAGTATCCAATAGAGAACTTAAAAATATCAATATGCACTCACAAAGATGAAACACCTATGTTTGCAACAAGGACCATGGAAAGGAGCTTATAAAAGAGATTCTGGGGAATGCACAATAGTAACTGAGATGACTTTGGTTGTCATTTAAAAATTCTTAGCTGTCTTGAAATTGCAATTCACAAAAAGTGAACTATAACTTGAACTGAAACAGGGCATTTTCTTTTACCCTTCTATACTGGAATAAAATAGGGAAAACAGTTTTAACCAGGCTTAGTTTTGAAGCCATCAAACTTGCAATAGAGTGGTTTGAAATAATGTAATTAGTAGACCGTATATCTTTTAATATTTTTAGATGATTAGTCCAAAAAGAGCTTCAATCACTCTAAGATGTGTGTGTGCGATATATCTTATAGCTTGTTTGATTTATAAAACAGAGCCTATACAGATGAATTCAGTTTGGAAGCAGCTTTAATTCTAGTGAGGAGAAATTGGCTTGGTCATTTCCTTCATTTAGTTTTGTCACAAAAGAGCTATTGGAGCATTTCCCTGTAATGACACCATCTGTGAAGCTGTAACCCTGTTCAAGTCTTTAAAGCAGAAGGAACATGACTCTACAGGTCTAACATCTAACATTACCATAACAGCCTACAAATATAGGCAAAGGTGAGCCTGGGAGAGATGTACTTTCTATATGCTCCATTAAAAGTGTTTTTTTAAATCCTTACTGAATGTGATTGCGCTAAAGGGGAGAATAACTCAAGGTGTCGCTGAAAAGCAAGTATAAAGATCTGCTTTAAATGACTGTAGCTATCCACAGTCTATTTAAGCTGCTAAAAAGTTGAAAAAAGCAAAGCTGTCAGCTAGAATACAGAACACAGGAACGGAGGGCTTACCTGCTGCAAAAAGATTCGAGGTAAGAGAGAACACTCCAGTTAAAACCAGTATCTTCATTGTAGTATGTCAGATCCAGCCAGCAAAAATCCAGCGCTGCTTTAGCTCATTTCAAGAGGTTTTTTAAGGGGATTTATTTCTCAGCGAAGACTGATAGCTCTGTCCCCCAGCAGCATCCTGTGGGCATGGGGTTTATGGCCAAAGCAAGTTTGTTCTTTGTCTACTACAGCAAGGAGGGTGTGACGTATCCAAATATGCACACATGACTCAGTTCAGCCCCTGCCCAGCACAGATTAAATTGCTTTACTGCAGCAACTTTAACTCCTAATTTACCAAGGGCCAGGAGGTGACGAGGGGGCTCTATTTTCTGCTGGGATTTGTGAGGACAGTTATTTGGAGGAAAATGTTTTTCTGCAAGAATCAAATGAGGGTTTAGTGAATCCTTAAAGGTCTCATCCACAGAGACCTTTTTAATTAAGACCTAATGAAATCCTGTGCTCTTGAGTAAGAAGTCAGACTCAGGAAACAGAGTGGTGATCTTGGTGCAGTAAATGTAAAGGTAAAAAGACAGACTGAAAAAAATACATCTTACAAAGTGTGTGCCCTGTGTAATGAGCTGTCTATGCTCCTTGGGCTGTGTGTCCCTCTGTCCACCAGGCAATGTCCATCCCACCAGGTTGCAGACTTGACGGACACTGCCTTTACCCCGTGTTCATTCATTGTTGTTCTCCTCCTTTCTGTCTAAAATACTTTTATCTGCTTGAATGCCAGGTAACAGTGGTTTGCCTTCAGCCAACAAAGCTAGAGCAAGTCTCAGTCTGGCTTCCAAACTAAAAGCAAGGACCGGAATAAGCGGTGTTCAGCTTTGGAACAATGTTTGTATTTGTCCTTGTAAGAAACTCATACAAACTGGAATGCAGATTCCTCTCCATTTCACAATCTTATTCCGGAAACTCTTGTTCTTTTTTTATTTTAGTATGTGCTCTCTCAGGTATTAACTCCAGTTTATTCTGCTACACTTGTGTTATATACTTGTGTCCTGCTATTACATCAGTGCTTGATAGTGCTTCATTTGATCTAAACATTTTGTTGCTTCATTTACGTATATTATGAAAACAGAAGAGTATTTTGATTTTTATTCCCCATTGTTTACTCTTAATATTTGTGGGCCACTGATCTATTGGACTTTGACCAGCAGTTGAGCCCTGTAGTCCATTATGAAACTGGTTGTTTGCCCACATAAGCTACTAATGCTGTGTGACCCTTTTCTCACCTTTATTTTCTGAAATACTCCTCTGAAATATTTTTTGAAATAACTTTATGAAATATGTTTATACACGTCTTTATCCAGTGACTATATTCCAGTTCCTCTTATCCATAGTATGTTATGGGTCTGGCACTTTTCTTTTTTGGAAACCCTTGTTCCCTCAGAGTCATAGAATGCTTAAGGTTGGAAGGGACCTCAGAGGTCATCTAGTCCAACCCCCTGCACATGCAGGGTCACCCAGAGCACGGGGCACAGGGCTGCGTCCAAGCGGGTTTTAAAGATCTCCAAAGAAGGAGACTCCACAACCTCCCTGGGCAGCCTGTTCCAAGGCTCTGGCACCCTCACTGTCAGGAAATGTTTCCTTAAGTTCCTGTGGAACTTCTGGTGCCTCAGCTTGTAGCCGTTTCCTCAAGTCCTATTGCTGGCCACCACTGCAAAGAGGCCGGCCCCTCCTCCTCACTGCCTCCCTTGAGGTATTTTAGACCCTGATCAGGTGCCCCCTCAGCCTTCTCTTCTCCAGGCTGAACAGGCCCAGCTCCCTCAGCCTTTGCTCATATGGCAGATGTTCCAGGCCCCTGATCATCCTGGTGGCCCTGTGCTGGACTCTCTCCAGCAGCTCCACATCCCTCTTGTCTTGGGGAGCCCAGAACTGGACACAGTCTCCAGATGTGGCCTCACCAGGGCATGTGTTGCTCATGTCTCCCACGTGTCTCTGGGTGGAAGTGGCTGCTGTCAGTGACTATGATGGAGCAGCGCGGTGGCTCCCAGGGCTGCTGTGTTGCAGGTTGGTCGGGTGGCTCCAGCTCTGCCCTGGCCAGTGCTCAGTGATCTCCTGGTGCTCTCTGCTCCCTGGCCCCTTTCTTACAGACGTCTGATGTTGATGTGTTAGAAATCAGCTTCTCTGTAGAGCTCCAAATCACAACTCGTGCAAACCACTTAATGACGCTCAAAAATGGTCAGAGTTTTACTTGGGCCAGTGCCTAGGTGTCCCGCCTCCCTCGTGCCCCTGATTTTTCGTGTAAACTTGTGCCTGTAGCTTTTTAAGCTGCTTAATGTCTGCTTGCCTCAGGACACCAGCTCTGTCCATTGTAGCCTTAGGTTGAAGCTTTAGCAGGAAGGAAGGATTATCTTGTACAGAGCACCCTCTATTTCACATCGGATGTAGTGTCATGAACTGTGAAACCTGCTCTACAGCTTAATTCCTGAAATGTTTGCTACCTGAAGTCAGTCATCATTACTAAACCTGAGCTGTTTTATGCCAGTTACTGCTGGTATTTTCTCATGTAATCTTTACTCTGTGTGTGTAACTTGTCCAAATAGGGAATTCTGAAAGAAAATTTACTTTCTATAATCTTTCACTCTACTGTTTTGCCACTGTCACTTCAGTGTTTGGTTGTGTTTGATTTCACTTAATGCTCCAATTATTTTGCTTACATGTTATGGAAATGAAACAGATTGTTCCTACTTCTGCTCATAGTTTTCCTTTGCCTTTGCCTTTTACAAATAAAAGCTTTGAGGTCTTGGTGTTTGAACATGCCTTTATTCAAGTCAGTAAATGGAATATGAGCTGGAACCTTGTTTTACTGCTGCTTTCAAGTGGTCAAATTATTTTTAGTGCCCAAGGGAGCTTGTGTACCAGAGCTCTATCAGTATGTTAGGACATATTTTTATAATACTTGTAGTTCTTTCATAAAGTGTTTCTCTATCTTTTTTTCCAGGAATCCCAGGATGACTCAGCGGTTTTGTGGCTGGATGAAATACAAAAAGGGATCAACGATGCCAATAGGAATATAAAAGAAGCAGAAATCTGTAAGCATTGACATACCTTTATATTGCCTTTGTTGTTCTTAGTCTTGAAAAACTGCTGAATTACTAATCCATCTTTCCTCTGAGATGTGGGAATGACCTTTAAACACACAGGAAGAAGTGAATGTGTACTCTGTGAAGAAATCCCTTCCCATGAAATTGGGATCATTTAGATCTCATGGATGGTGTTAATTTTATCTAGGGCTTTAGTCTTTAAGGTTTGGCTAATAGCTGAGTGGTTTCTCTTACGAAGGTTAATGAGGTGACTAAAATTTCTAGTGTCAGTGTGTTGCAGAGCTGGTGAGACACTGTTGTGTTTCTATATTTCACCTGTGGTATGAAAACAGCAGGAAGTGAGAAAGAAAGTATAGGACCATTTAAGAGCTTTGGCTTTTGTAAGACTAAAATTTTGATGCATGCTAATTGTTAAGTGGGTGGAGCGTTGCTTAATCTTATTTTATTATGCGTCTCACTGATAATAAATAAAAATTAAGACCGTGTTCATAAGTAGTCTAAGAAGTGCCCTCTTTAAGTGCATGCTCTTCCAATTTGTGAAGCAGGAAAAATCTGTACAGAAAAATCTGAAGTTCGTCCTGCGATAGTAAACTAGATATATCTAATACTGTCTCGTGTTAAAAGGTTTTATGAAATCTAATTTAGAAAACATATCTAAAATATAATTGTCAAGTAATATAAAAATAAGAATCCTGGGGTATGTGGGCATGCTGGAAAGCTGCGGTCTGAGGGGTTCAGCCTGGGCTAGCTGAGGCGTTTACTTTGGGGTTCGGTGTCGGTTTGGCTGTGCTGCACTCGGCGTTGGGGGGATCTGCCTTTAGCACACCCAGAGCTTGTGAGTACAGCTGATGCAGCCTTGCAGTGCTGCATCCAGCCTCTATTAACACAGCGCTGCCGCTTGTTTGCTTAGAGGCAGTCAAGAGTCAGCAGTGTTTTGAATGGTGTGGGTAGAATGAAAGTACCAGGGCTAGCATTTATTGAACTTTATATCTCCGTTGCAGAAAAGCTGCATGTAGTGTCGCTATTACACTAGAACTGATTTGTGATATTAATTTAACTAGATCGATACACTAAGGAATTTTGCAGTGATTTTACATGTTTTGCATCTGTGTAAAGCTTATTTTCTAGGGTGGGGTGAGAAGCACATAGCTGTCCAAATAGTGCTCTTAGGCTTGTGCCAGATACCTTCTTGTAGGAGTAAAAATACCTTCCAATCAACTGTAACCAGAGACGTGGGGAAACATCTGGGCACAAAGAAGGGAAGGAAATTCATAATTTGTAAACGATGTCAGTTAAAGCTAAAAAGTGTCAAGGAAACAAGCTAGGCTGTGACCTCTGCTCTAAGAGCACCATGAATGTCCCAAGAGTGGCTTAAAGAACCCAGCACAGAATGACTCATGCCAACGTCACATGGTATGTGAAAGATAGACCTCTGTTCCATCTACTAGTCAGTTGTTACAATAATTATATAGCCTGTGTCACCATATTTGCACTAAAATACATAGTTTTGCATAATCAAACATGATCAGCAAAAGTGTTTTAACAAGATGCTAGTAAGAAAATTCTTGCTGCTCTCCCACGTTCTCTCATGGGTTGAAACAAAACTTGTCAGCACAGCATCATCCATGTGCTTCAAATGGAGGCTAAGATTTTTGCAGCTCAATGCTGACATTTCAATTTCCTCACAACGCAGAGCCTGGTATTTCCTATAACAGATATATCCTGCTTCAGGAAGTTAGCAGGCTGTGTTTGCACAGTCTAAACTTAGAAAGTTCAACTTAATTATAACTTGTAAATCAACTCAGATTTTCTCATCTGGACAGGTTGAAATATCTTTAGAATTCTGCCTCTGCCAAGAATTCCATACAAACATAAAGGGGATCTAACACTTATAGCAAACTGTTTTTGAGACTGCTGTGGTGGTGGTGGCAATAGCATTAAGATAAGAGAAGGTGACTAACTTTTCTGCCTTAAATAAGCCAGTGACGTACAATACTTAACATTTTGCTTTTTTATGTGTTGCAACTTAAAAAGGCCTTTAGACAAACGGTCTTCCCCATGATCCAAGGATTCTGCCTCCTGTATGCTCACTTGGGGAGGAGTGCCCAGGAGCTGCTCGTGTGCTCTGG